TGCACTTGATTTCTTAGGTCCAATTTCTTAATGTAATTCTTAATTTTCTTAATTTCTTAGGTCCTTCCAATTCTGTGATTCTGTGATTTTATACTATTAAGCTGATATGGCATTGGCTGAATACATTAGCATACTCATGCAAGACTAGGTTTTGAATGGAATTTTTTTTTTCTCACTCAGTCACCTGGAATTCAGTAGCATTATCTTCATTCCAGCAGAATTAATATAACAATTAAGGAAGCAATTCATACCAATTGCATTTGCTTCATTTACAACAACTTTCTGTGCTGCTCTCATGCCCTCTATTTCTTTGTCCCCCTTAAAAATATTTCTACCAAAAGACACTAGTCATGAAACCCTACCTTAATAAAATGCATGATACAAATCAGTTTCATCATCCAAGGCATTTCACCCTTGTTTATCATCATAGTGAATCCATTAAATGTGATTGCCTTGTAGTTTTTCTGCAGTAGCAATCCTGACACCGATGCGTTGCACTGTTTTGTTTGTTTCACTTTTTTAGAAGGCTGAATACAGATTTGTAAACAATTTTCATTAATCATGTTTTCTTATCTCATTAATGGTTACCTCATTTGACTAAAGATCTAGTTTTGCTGCCTCAGTCAATCTCAAATCATAGAATAATTTAAAAATAATTTAATTTAATAATTTTAAAAAACAATAAAACAAATCAAATGCCACAGATACGTATTTTAAGGCTGTCTTTAAATTATTAAAGCATTCTTTTCCATGTTAACTTTACTCTGAAAATGAAATTCTCCTTGGAGAAAGTATAATTGAGGTCTGTAAAGATGTGCGGAATTTCTCCAGGAGAATGATATAAATAGCAAACAGGAGGAATTGGTTACATTTACTGTATGCTAATTTTGCTTTCACCTTTTTGTGTGAGCTTTGTGGAATTTTAAGTGTCGTATTCCCTAATGGAAGGTAACTGATAACATTTTGTAAAAATGTAAAACAACATTTTCAGGTAGGTATGCCAAACATAATATAGAATATTTTGAGATTGTATATCTTATTGCTTCTGCTTTTTTTCAAGAAATCTATTAGTTTACTCACCATCATACACTTATATAGAGAGAGAGCTAGATGCATGCACAGCCAATTGTATTTTATTGGAGAGAAATACGACCTTTCCCTGATGAAATTGTTTCTTTGTTTTCAATGGACTTCTGTTATATCTAGTGGGATGCTTCTTTCTTTCTTCCAATATTAAGACTTCAGAAGTGCGATCTTAAATTTGTGTCAATGGGCATACACTTGGAAAGTGCATTGTTAGTCTCTTCCAAAGTGCTTGGGAGAAAAATATACTGACAGGAAAGCAATGGAAATAATGTCATGATTTCTATCACACTTGATGCCACACATAAACTTTATTTCAATGCCTAAGAAGAACCCCTATAGAAATCCATTACATAACAGATGCCTGAATTGTTGTTATCTTACTAGGGTAAATTATATTGTAATTTTTCATGTTGTTTTCTTCACATATTTTTGTTTTTAAATGGTTTGACAGCTTGTTTGGCTGCCAATTGTCATTTGAAATTAACAAATGCATTAGAATTCATAAGCAGCAAATAACAGAAACCATCCGCTACTTGAGGATTTAAACAGACGGGAGCTGTTATGTTTTCAGGAGCCAAACTTCTCCGTCTCCAGTATGAACAAAGAACTTTTTTCTTTTTTATCCCTCTTCACCAATTACATCTATGGCCTCCATGAATTATACTTAACTTTCAGGCAGTGATTAACTCTTTCAGAATATTTATGTTTATGTTTTCATCTTTTTCTGGATAGATAGATAGATAGATAGATAGATAGATAGATAGATAGATAGATAGATAGATATACACACACACATTCCTTCTACTTACTATTTTACCTGGAGAAGAAGAAGAAGAAATATGAAGGAATATCTTTTATTTTCAGAGAGGTATATCGATTTTTATTGAAATATTGAAGCATTGGTTTTCTTAGATATATGTCATTACTCTTAATAAAGAGATTAAATAGGATGGTATTACTCCATATTTTCTAAAGTTTGGCAAATGTTTAGATGGCAACTCTAGTTCCTTCCAGAAATGTTACTACCATCTGCCATTTGCTTTTTGGCAAGCAATAAAACAGGCAGCACACTTTTAAGTAATTTCTTCCTGTTTTCTGTTTATCTCATTCCCATTTTCCTGGATGATGCCAAAAGCTTATTCCCCCCCCCCCCCAGCTATAATGAATTACAGTCTGATATTCTGCCTATCTCAGAGCTTGGAACACTTTAGTGATATTAATACAATATTCTAGATGTGTCCTGGGTGTTTTAGGGAGGGGAAGATAACAAATTCCCTAATAAAACACGTTGAATATCTCAGAAGCTTATACACTGTTTTGTGACATTTTGGCTATTCCCAAAAAAAATGCATACATTTTGGATTTTACAGCTGTGAGTCCACTAAAACTTAAAATAATCCTATAAGAAACACACCTTTGATTGATTAAAGTAGTAATATTCTGTCTTTGTACCTACATGGATCTTCATATTAGCTCATAACAAATGTTTGTATGGTTTCTTCCTTTTTAGTGATTGATAATAAATTATATGTTGGGGGCCTTATTAGTTCTCATCTCTCATCCTTTTCCATCCACAATAGACCTCTTCTTCAAAGTATCCCAGAGGAGATCTTTACAAAAACTGGGGGAAGACATTCTTACTGTGCTGCCAGATCAAACAAAACAAAGCCCTCAGTTTTGCCATGTGGCTTTTCCTATAATGCTTATGAATCCTACTTTTGAAAAACTTTTCATTCCCAGAATGCAACATATATTGGAAAGGCTGAGATATATAGATCACTTTTTTCTTGCTTATAATTTTTATCTTGTGTATTTTTGTATTTATACATTAATTCTCCATAAAATATCTAAAGATCTTATGCAGATCTAGTTGTATGAATAATATTTAATGTTCATTTATTGCAAAATTTTGGTGCTTATTTATACATTGATGCAATTAAATATTTCAAATATTTTAAAGAAATAGTCAGAACTGGATGATATAGGAAGGAGATGCATATATATTTCACTCCATACTTTTGAGAAGGTATAAACTTATCTTTAACAAGTAGACCAAATAAAATCCTCAAGCAATCCTAGTCTAGTCTGGTTTTAAGTTAAAAATAAAAAAAAACAAGGTCTGTAGAACTGCTTGTCAACAATTATGGTTTGAAGAATTTTGAAATCCTAATTTCTTGTCTTCCTCTAAAAGCAAGTATCCTATCAGTTTGGATTGAATGATGTTAAAATATCAGGTTTTTTTTGTTGTGTTTGTGAGTTTTCAAAAAGAATAATGAAATCTCTGCTTCATTTACTATTTAGTAAAAAGATTGCTTCTTTAAGAAGCAAAGCAGATAGTGCTTCAATTTAATTATGAGATTGCAACTCTACTGAGAGATTTTCCTTAAATTGTGATTAAAAAGGATAATCAATTAAGCAGCTAAGAATAATGATATTCTGGAAAAAGAGATGTAAGGTTGCAATAACCAGTATTTTTCCTTTAAAACTCTTGAAAGATGGTTTCTAAATTGTGTTCCTCAAACTGGTATAGCAATATTCTATACCAGTGACAATCTTATGTCATCCTTAAAGGATGTTCCTCATGTAGAACCGCATGGCAATAATGGGCATGAGAATGAGTTACTGTCTCAGGTTTGCTGATGGTTTAGTCCAAAGTGATTAAAAGCATTCTAGGCCATTAAGGCTATTTGAGCATCCATTGAAGATGTATCATTGACTAGTCTCAAGCTATTATCTACTCCCAGACTAATATCTACTCCAGCACACCATCCTCAGAGCTCCATTTTGTTGGGATTCTGATTGAACTTACTAGCCCTCCTTCTGCAGACTCTGGTCCTCTGATTGAATATAGTAGGCTGGATTCCCAGGAGGGGGAGGGTGCATTCTAGAGGAAAAAGAGACAGTCAATCCCCATATCTTATGTGAGAGAAAGAGGATGAAGGATAATAGGTTTTCTGACAATATGCTAGATACATAAATAGAGCGCTTCAGTTTGGAAAGATTCTGCCTATATATATTAAAATATATATATTAAAAAAGTCAACTTGGAAGAATCATTAACTTGCAAGTATCAGTCTTTTTTGGCTTTTGGGACTGACAGATCCAGAATTTATATAGGACCATCTAAACCTTAGAAAGAGTAATAAAGCATGGTTAGAAATTACTAGGTAGCTTCACCTATGGCTTCATACCAACATTAAATAGCAGAAGGCCAATCTAACAATATTCTGTAGCTTAATAATAATGGAACCAACAGAACTCTCCCATTATCAGTTTCTATAACTACTTAAACTGTCCTTCCATTCTTATTTCATTTGTCTTCTATATTCTTGTTTCTTATTGATGTGTGACACTATAATATCCCTAGAGACATGTCGGTTATACATCAAGATACCCAGATATCTACACATGAATAATTCTTAAGTCAACTGAAGCTTTATGTGTGTTGCACATGAGGAGGAAAGAAGTCTCTGAAATCAGATATTAACATTACTTTTTCAAGCGCTATTTTTCACTAGAAAATATTACTTAAATCTACTGTCATCACCTAAATTGTTTTTTCAGTTATGCAATTCATGGGATGTAATAGATAAAATATATATACTTTGCTCCACATACTGAATCAGAGATTCATAGAAAGTTAGATCTTAGCCTATGTCACCCAAGAGAATTACTTCTTCACTTCTTATAATATCATCTTTCAAACTTTTGCTATTTACAAATAATAAAAAATACCAATAATTGAGAATAACATTCCTATATCTGAGATCACTAGTAATAAATTTCAATTATATTAAAACTTGTAACCTGTTTTTTTCTTGTTTTCCTGTAATTTCATCAAACCACCATCTTATACACATGGCAGTTCACTGACATGTGTCGCTGCTTCTGATTCCTGCTTTTGTTTTTTTCAGAACCCACGGGCATGATACCAGTTTTGACAAAAGGAGTAAATTCATCCTCACGTAAGTCAAGTTGAATAGCTTGCATCCCTAATGTTAATTCTACAGATTCAGGTTTTTTCCCCAGCCTTTCTCTGCATCTTTATACTTTGGATAGAGTTTTGACATATCATAGAAAAAATAGATCCGGGATCTATATTTATGAGTTGATTTAGATCTCAACTGGAATTTAGTGTCTTTCTCATCTCTAAAGATGTCCCTAAATTATATTTGTAGCAGCCAGTTACAAGTTGCAACTTGCTAAGTATTCAACTTTTCTTTATTTTCCTTGACAAGATACTTTCTTTTTTGGCATGAGATGTTAATGCCTCTCATTTCCTCTAGTGTTGCATGTGTCCTCTAATAAAATAACAGTGTTTAAAAAGAGCTGCTATTAGATTTAGATCTTTTCCTTGTGTAGCTTATATTTCCTCTGTTCCACATCTTAGATTGTATTTGCCTTTTTTAAGCTTCCTTTTCACAGAAATTAGTTACATTATTTACAGCGGGGCTACCTACATTTGGAATGTTCAAAACATAATCTTCACAATGTCTGAAAGACAGTTTCCACTCCCTGACAGCTACCTTATATGCTCATACTTTGCATGCTGCTGCTTGTTCTGTTCATCTGTCACTTTTGTGGCACAGCAGAATAATGAATGCTGCATCCCTTCAGCTTTTCTGAGATTCTTTTGTCTAACACTGCTAGTTCTGCATTTCGAAACTAGAGCAGAGCACGTGGCCTTCTGAATGCATATTTTGAAACGTTACTGGATTTTGGCATGTGACTAGTTTTTGCATTTCATAAAGGACATCTTCTGTCTTGCTTTTCCTGTGGTTCAGTCTCCCATAGAAGATGAAAATTCAGTCACTCTTGTCTTTATTTCTCTTTTCTTCAGCTGGTTATCAAATCTGGACTTTGTCAATTTGTCAAGTTAATTTTATCCATTCAGATTTTTCTACATAGTTTTGAATTATCACTATAAAAGAAATGTCTGTGTATCAACCAAGATCCATTTCAGATATGCAGTTCAATCTGAAAATGTGATTTCAGGGAATCACTTTTGAATCAAAGCTTTGGATACCCATAGTTTCTAATTATTTAAAGTTTATTGACATTACACGCAATGTTAAATTTCTTCCATTCTTTAGTATTTTGCTCCTAGTACAGATTTTTCCAAAAACAGTGCTGATCATGTATTCTTTGCAGATGTTGAGTCATCAAAACATCTGAATTTTCTTATCTGATCCAAGATAAATAATCTAGTCGGAAATTAAATTTATTTCTAGTACTTTCTATCAATGTAATAATAAAGTGGTCCTTCAGTTCAGGACAGTGATATTCTATCATAATCTTACAAATGGTTACAAGTATTTTCCTTAATTCTACTAGTTTTCTGCAGGAATATTTTTAAGATTAATTTTTGCTTTGATAAATTATTCCTGGTGTGATTAGGACCACATGTAATTTCATTATAGTTCCCTGCTATTCAAAGCTGCTTTTTCAACCATTTTTCTCAAAGAATTTGACCTTCCTAGGAAGACAAATTTTAAATTCCACTTCAAATGGATAGGATTTTTCCATCTCCATTACCATGTTGCTTTCTGTGTATTGCAGAACTCATAGACAGGATTTCTGCCTCTACTGAAGGAACAAATACATCTTCTAGTAAGTATATAGTACTAGCAGCCTTCATGAACACAGCACTCTATTTGTTTCAATATATATATACAAAATATGTACTAATTCTTGGGATAAAAAACTAATTGCAAAAAGAGTCAGATTTTTTAAAACCACCTTCCCCAACTAGTATCTTTCAGATATATTTTTTATTGCCATTCCCCATCATCCAAAATATAGCCAAAAAATGTCCATCACAACTTTTTTTGTAAACATTTTATTAATTTTCTAATTTTACAATCATAAATACTTAATAAACAACGTGTTGTCTGGGTCCATTGATAATTCAGTGGTATATATTAACTTTCTCAGTCTAGTTCCAATATTACACTATCCAGTGCTTCTTTGATCCTCTTTCTTCTGGTGGTATGCATTTTTCCACACTGGACAAATAAAATTCTTGTACATGTTAATACATGTACAATTAAATATAGACAGCTTCATCATATTTTTCTGGTATTATACATAATAGAAATAATGTCAGTTTATAATATCTTTTCTAGCCAAAACATATCTCAATTGCATTTGCACTTAAAATCCATTTGTTCCATCAGTATCCCATTTTTCCCATTTTTTTAAAAAAAAATTAATTTTCCATCAATGTTCAAAATATCTCTATCACTTAAAATTTTCTCATAATATATTATATTTGGGTAAAAACTTCCTTTATTCAAACCCTTTTAGAATTTTCATATTTCCCATCTCATAACAAAATATAATATTCTGGTTAGAAATCCTATCCTTCTAGTTATAATAATACTTTTATTTCTAACAGTTATCTATTTTATTAATCATATTCAAACATCTGTTTAATAATATAATATCCCATCTCTATCGCTTATAGTTTTCTCATAGTAAATTATATTTGGGTAACCAAAAGTTTCCCTTATTCAGACCCTCTTGGCATTTTCATATTTCCCTTCTCATACCAAAATATAGTATTCTAGTTGCATATTCTATCTTTCTAGTTATAGTAATACTTTTATTTCTAACAATTATCTATTCTCTTATGTATGTTCAAACATCTATTTAATAATATAATCTCCCATCTAATGGGTCAAAACCTCTATTTTCTTCAGTCTTACTCTGGCTTTTTTTTCCTTTGCCAACTAACTTTCCAAGTCAATGCATTGAGTCTTCAAGTAGCTCTTCCCCTATTTTTGTGTATATTGTTTGAAGTAAGAAAGACAATTTCATTAAAATATTTTTGGAAGAACACTCAGCCCATTTATATTCATTAAACGGCCTCCCTCCTTCTCCAATTTTCCACAATTCTCCTGACAGCTTTATCTTCTGTTCAATCAGCTCTTCTTCCTTATCCTCAAATGTGTTCTGATATTTTGACAAGTAAGATATCTTTTCCATTTTCAGTATTATCGCTGCATCTTCTAATTCTTCATTTGTCTGAGTCTGTCTGTTAATTCCTTCTGTTAGGTCTTCCATCTTTGGATCTGCTTCCTCTAATTTTCCTTCTATTTTCTGGGTTACTGGTTTTTTTCTTTGTAGTCATTTTCTGAATTTGTAAGTTTAGATTAGAAAGTTGTTCTTTTATATCCTTTGCATTATTTTTAGTCTCATCATGAGCTAAAACAATTGTCTTTTGTATTGATTTAAACATAGAAAGAATTTCTTTCTGAGATTCATCAACATTTTCTTGTTGGTATGTGAAGCTGGGGGTTTTGGAGACAAATGTTAGAGATGGTTTTTTACCATTTAAGACTAAGTGTGGAACATCCATTTTGTTTTTGTATGTGGTCTTTATAGTCCAATCTATTTTGAGATTTAAAAAGTTTCAGTCAATTGTCATTGGAACTCCAAATTATCCAGCCAGCCTCTCAGTCCATCCTTAGCCCCCCCTTAAACAAATATAAGCAAAGTCCAGGTTTTTCTGTCCAATGAAAAACATATTCTTTCTGTCCAGTGAGAAAAGAAACAATTAAAAGTTATTCATCAATCAAAAGTTTATAATCCAAAGTGTTCCATCATCTCGATCAGTCATGCCTGTTTCTTCTACAGGGGAATAGTTCCACGACACAGCTCTAAAGGTCAGCTAGCATTTATATTCATAATCCAAGCAGGCCAATTTCAAAATAGTTTATTGTCTCTGACACACAGATAAGCAGCCAAAGAGGGGTTTTTTTCCTTCTCTAGCTTCAGTCTTCAAAAGTAGGCCAAATTTTCTTTAAACATAATAGAATGTAGTGCCGTGGTTTGCCACTAGATGTCGTTAACACCTTCTTCCAGCTTCAAACTTATATTGCAAGCTTTTCAAGTCTCTTTTCTAAAAAAGTCTCAAAAGCACTTTTAATCCCCAAATTTCAAGGTTATATATCTATATTGATTCCAAATTAATCTTATAATTTTCTCCATTTCCCCCCAAGCAGTTAGTTTACCGCTTTTTTTCCCTGAGGGAATGGGGCGGAAATTCCCTTTCTCTCTCTCTAATCAGAGGATTCTTTGCTTTGGGTGGTTTTCCCAGGAAAAAGTCTTAAAGTTATAAAGAGAGGATAGAGTCTCACCCAGTTTCATCCACGTTGTTCAAAAGTTACTCATTAGTGCTTATTTCCTTCGGTTATCAGCAGTTTCTGACTGGCTACATGAATGTAGCCAGTCTTTCCCCTGCCGGTTTGGAGGGCTTCCTCGGATCAAACGGAAAGGCCACCACCCCTCCGCAATCAACAAGGGTCCCCCTCCTTCTTTGTCACCTCTCTGGGGTGACTTTTGACCCTTTTTAGGGTCCCCAGCAGGATGAAATTGAACACGGAAGATGGAGCCACATCTTCCTGCATCCGTTACGCCATAACATCAAACTGGAAGTCCTCCATTACATCTTAAGGTAAAACCCACTACATCTGGGAGGCACAAGATGCAGAAAGATTGCAAAAGGAATCATTTCCATAAAAAGAGAAAGCAGTTTGCTTCCTTTCTTTAAAAAAAATATTTTTCCTTTTCCCCCCTTTCCTTTCTAGAAAGGGTTTTTGTTTTTTTGTTTTTTTGAGCAGAACTGTTTCATTGGGTTTTCTGCCAATCCGTTAAAGCAGATTGTGGAAGCAGTGGTTACTAATATTTCTGACTCCAGAATGTGCAAATAATCCTAGCATTTAGATAATTAGATAATTTTTTTACATAATTGGAGTGGACAGAATAATCTCGTATTAGAAGAATGCCTATGTTGAAAAGTTGTGTTATTAAAAACTTCTTTATTGTAGCAAAGAATCTGATTATGAAAGTTCTAATGACATTCTCTCCCATAACTATACTGTGCTATGTGTACTATATTATGCTTCAAGAAGGAGTTCTTTGCTCATACTAATGTGTTTTGTTAAATGATCTTTTTAACTTGCTTGGAAAATATTAATAGTAATGTTAGTAATACTAAGATGACATTGTCACAGATAGATCATTGGATTTGGGCTGAGCAGGTTGTGGTTGATATCCAACATGATAATGCAACATGCTGTGTAATCTTGGCCCAATCACAGGATTCAGTGAATAAGATTGTAGGGTCTAGTATATCTGAAGGATTTTATTCCTATCACCCCAATATTCTAAAATTATGTTCTAAAGATTTTCTGCAAGGCACAGACTTCTTTGTAATGAGTTTATCATGAATTAGGCATATGAATATGTAAATCAGATAAATGCATTGTAGTTAGGAATGACAGATTGGCTTGGTAGGTTTCACATTCAAATAAATTTGAAGAGGTATTTTGGGGTAAAATAAAACTGAGCAGGAGATGAAAATTGGAACGATTAAAAAAACAGAAAGTCTTTGGATAGATGAAACAGTTGGAGAAGCAAAGTTTTTTGGGAAGGAATATTGTGTGAAATAAGGAAACTGGAAAATAGGCTAATGGAAATAATAATAAGACTTTGGAAATGGATGCATAATAAGATGAGTTCTTAATAAGATGGAGACATTGAGGATCTTTCATTTCTATTTGAAAAATCCAGAATGCTACAAAAATTCTTTTAATGTAGATGTCTAGTTTTATCATTTTAAATGTATGTATATTTTCAGGAAGATCCGAATGTATTTTCTTAGGAAAAATAACGCTCAGAATAAGCTGAAGTTAGCAAAAGATACTAAAACATTTTTTTCAGATATGTTCAAAATAAAAGGGAGAGAAAAGCAACATACCAGTTACTAAGTATTGGTAGCTAATGATAACAAGGAAAAAAATAGAATTCAACTCTTATTTGGTCTAACTTTCTGATATATATATTTTACATGAAATTTGAAAGTAGTTGAAAAACTCTGATTCTAGCTCAAGCTCCATATCAACATAGTCAACGAACATCTGTCAACTTTGATGGGTTCAAATATCCAAAGCCAGATACTGTAGATTCCAAGATTGGGGAAATACAACGTGAACATGCCATGCGGTTAAAGAGACATGCCCAAAATACCATTTTCAGTGTTAGAATTGGGAACAAGGGATTATGGTGTGGAATGGATGAGTGAATGAATGGATGGGCATATGAATAGATTTTAATTTCATCCCTCTACCTTTGAACTGTGAAAAGATAGTTAAAATATTGTGGCTTCAGATCAAAATCTGATGTCTGCCATTAGTACACAATTGCTTTTATACTTTATATCAATAGAAAACTTTATTTCTCTCATGTTAGGATATGTCTAGCTTCTGTATTTCCCCCAACATGCATGCTATGTTCTGATCCCTAAAATCATGGGGATCATAATTGCAGAAAATACAAATAAGTTGTGATGTCTGATGTTATTCTGTAACAATTGTTGAGAACTAATATTGGTCTAAGAGGTTATGCTGATTAAATAACAAAATAGGTTCCTTATATTTTAGAGAGGTATCTGTGCTGGCATGTATAGTATACAAATATTTTACTGATAAGAAAGTGCTCCAATACTGCGGCAAGCTTCAACCACAATTAAAATTATTAGAGTAAAATAAAAGTAAAAATTATACAAACATTATAAAATCAGTATACTTCAAGATATGTTTATAATACCATAGAAACTTTTAGAGATACAAAACCTTAGGCGTAGCAACCCTGCCATTTGACTTTACCTATAGGATTTACAACGAAGTATTTTCGTTGCTTCAGT